AGATTTACCCTTAGGTTTGAACTTTAGTGAATTGATTATAGAATTAGGCGAGTTTTGAGTTTAGAATAGACATAGAATAATATGAGTGTCCATAGACTAGTTAACTTACAAATTACGCATATGTGATAGATTGGAAAGGTTCAAAGGCATTGAGGAAGGAAAATAATCGAAGAAGTGGTCTACTTGAATTCGATTCTCCGGTGGAGGTAGGTTATGGTTTATGCTATTTGATAGTAAACTCTTAGTAGTGATTGATGTGCAGCTAATGATATAATGAAGTTTTCTATATACTTGATTGTGTGGTTGTGTGGCTTGGTTGTGTTTTTTTTATTGGTCTTAAATCTTTAGACCGTGAAATTTATAATCTTGAACCCTGTCTACTGAAGAGATGCCTTAAATAAAGAAGGCTCAATGAAATATTATTAACGAATGGAATAGTGGTGATATTAAATGATAAGTTAATGATATTCTTGGATCGGAGTGTCTTATTCTGACACGATATTTTTGGATCGGAGTGTCACGTTCCGACACGGTATTCTTGAATATGAGTTTCACGTTCTGACACGTTATTCTTGGATCGGAGTGTCACATTACGACACGGTAATATTAAAGTAAAAACATGTTGAATTAATGGAAGGTACTCAATCCCAAGGAACTCAACTCCCAAAATGGTTTGATTTGGAGGCATGAGTCCTCATGCATGATCTTGATATCATTGACTTATTACGAGCTTACTTTAATGTTGTTGATACTTGTTCATGTTGTTTGTTGTTTATCACCAGTTAAGTGCTATAGTTGAGTTCATACTATTATTTATTGTATATTAGTTCCTATTTTGGGTTGACCGATTATATCTACTTAGTACATGTTGTCCCCGTACTGAGTGCTACTTGTGTTTTTTTCTTTGTTTTTCTTTTATGAAATGCAGCTATTGTTCCTAAAACTTCAGATTTTCCTCAGCTCTAGCCAGCCTCCCGCATATCAAGCTCCAGGGCGAGCTATTCATTCAACCTCGTGTTGGATTCTTTCGGTCATGACATGATGTCCTATACTTTCAGACACATACCATTTTATTCATTTATTTTGGTGTCTTTGATACTCTTAGACTTAGTAATTAGAGATTAGATGTCCTTATTGTGATGACTTTCAGGTTTTGGGAAACGATAGTTAATAAATTATGGAGCTTCCGCAATATTTTGTTATTCGCAGTTGAATTATTGGTACATGTTGAGATTTGAATTTCTTGGTTCGTCAACCTAGGTAATTAAGTGTTGATGTCACTCACGACTTGTTTGGGATCGTGACAAACATGATATCGGAGCGTTAGGTTCGTTGGTCTCATCACACAATGACAAGTCTGGTAGAGTCTTGAGGAACGGTATGGGGACGCCTTTACTTTTCTTCGAGAGGCTATAGGACTTTCGAAAAACTCTATTCTTTCTTTCTTTTGTGCTATTACTTGGATCCAATTGGTATGTAGGTGATATAAATTTGTATCTGAACTTCTTCACTCTATTTAACATATGGTTAGTACTAAAGTATTAAAAGTTGAAATAGCAACACTTGGAAAAAAAGAAGAAGAAGAATATGTCCTGGAAAATGAATATATTTTCTCGATCAACTATAGGACCTCTAATGTCTAGTAATCAACATGATTTGTTTTTAAGTTCATAAAGTTGAATCTTCATGGTTATTGATTTTGAATATGTTTATGCTTCCATTATTGATTGTTTTGAGCTGCTTCATAAAATGAATATAGTGGAAAGACTCAGTGTTAAGTTTGTGACATACTAGTTTTGATGATACGTAAAATGCGGTAATAGTCTCATGTTGAGTGGCGATTTGTAAAGAAACTACCTATAACTTAAGGCAACATTTTTCTAGCATATTCATGAAGAATTATATACCCTAGACTTGAGGGATAGGAGGAGATATGAGTTATGGAATAGCAAGAGGTATATATTGCACCAGTTATGGTCAAAATCTCTACTACTATCCATAGTTGAGTGTATATCAGAAAGGGTCATCAATTCTTACTTGGATAGAGTTTTGAGGTGTATTTCCGTTGTTATTGACTTGATCTAAGAAGTAAAGCAAATTTCTTGGGCTAGAGAGAGAATAAATTCGACAATGTTTTACAGTTATTAAATGGGTAAAAATGTATGGGCTATTTGGGTTTGATATTCTTGATAACATGATGTGTTCTAGTAATGAATTTAACGACCTTTGATGGTACTAATATTACGTGGAAACGAATACATCTATTGTCAAGTGTGAATACTAACTACATAAGGATTTACTAGTGGCATGACATGTTTAAATAATGAGATTCAGTGTTGCTTTCACATTTGAGAAACCAACTAGTTTATTACTACGGGTGTTTGAATTGAGCATTATTATAAAGAAAATTTAATTGGAGGATCTTTGGTACAATATTAATACATTTAAGTTGTGAAATGTATCTTTAAGCATCTGAATGAGGACTGGTGATTTTATCTCAAGCTTCAAAGGGTAGACATATACTAGAATGACAAACTTATAGGGAAAGAAACTCCTAGTGAGTATACTTGGGTGAAGTAAATTGAAGATTTTAGCAATAAAGTGCATATAAAATTGGGTTAGTCCCTTTAATTTGATTGGTATACCTAAGTTTAAGGTGTCAGATCGAGGAAAAGGTTCACTTCATAGTGATTAAAAGGGTTAACTTAACATGATGTAAGAAAAACGAATCGTGAGAAATTGCAATTGGGATGAAATTATATGATTAGGATTTGTTGGTTAAATAAATTTTGTATGTAATAAAGACTTGCGAGTATCTAAGGTTGTGATTTTCTATAAGTTAGTGAGTAATGTGGGTCTATGGCAAGTTTTAGGAGATGTTGGTGCACCACGAATAGAATTTAAAGAAGCTAGAGTCGTAATTAAAACAAGATAAAATTTGTGGGATGTGTAGCCTTTAGAAATAGGTGAGGATATAATATTTTCTCTGATTGGAAGGACTAAAAATGAATTTTCGAACGGGTTGAGAATTGGGTACACAAATGTTTTGTTTGATATGATTTGTTTTGGTTATGATAAATATGTTATAGGTTCGTCAAATTGGTTAAAAACTAGAGCACAAGACTTGAGAAAAAAGTGTACATACGTACAACTCGAGTGTGACGATAAGTTCTTTTGTGGTTTTAAGTTTAGTAGTGCATACTATTGAAATTTTAGCGAAGGACATGGTAAGATCTATGAAGAGGCAAACAATGATAAGTTAAGATACATGAATTCCTAAAAATCATCAAGGTATGAGCTAATGTTGATTGATAAGGGCATTGTGCTAAACAGTTAGACTTACAATTCAAATTTTCATTATAAGTATGCATTCTTGGTGATATGTTTTTTCAAGGTAAGAATTTGTAAGGTAATAATGATTGATTGCATCGAATATCGAACATTTGAAAGGACTTACATATGATTGGAGTCGTAGAGTTTTTTTTATTGTTAAAGGATCTAAGAAAGAAATTCCTCAAAGTTTTGATTTAGAGTCGGAAGTAAAACATCATGGGTTATTAGTAAAAGGATAAGATCGGTAAATGAGCTATAAAAAAAATAATGTGATATATTGAAGGGTCGAAATATATATAATTTTACATCATGAGAAGAATTTGAGAAAGGTGAAGGAATAAGACCCCTCGTATTTTTCATGAAATGCTTAAATAGAAAGAGAGAACACTATAGTTTGAATATGTATTTGATAAAAATACTTTGATACTAATGATGATTTGGGAGTAAAGTAGATGATTGATGTGGTTATGATGTTTTGTTAGTATTGAGAGTGTTGACTTCAGTGGATATTGGGTTTGATAAATCAAGTATATACGTGCAATCATAATAGACAAAATTGATGGTTGTGGGTAGCTAGAAAATTATATAAATTGAGTCAGATAAATCAAAATGTTTGATATGGGCACTATGGAAGGAGTATCTGGAGTTATTCCACCTTGGTTATTTTCTATAAGACATATTTAGTGTTGTCTTGGTGTAGTTATAGTATTTGAGTAATTCTACATGTACCACCTTGCTTGTGAGAATATATAGGAGTGCTATCATGAAAATTTATAGTTTTTCGATAGACTTAAAATTTATCTCATCATCGTATTATGTTTTGGCTATGTGTGATGGAATGTGTTAAGGTTTGTTTGTAATATCTACTAATATAACACTTTGACAATGTTGTAAGAGGTTATATGTGTTTGGGTGTATCGCTCCATGGGTGGTTGCTTGATCATTTTCTTCTATGGGTTGGATAAGTTTGGTTCCCTTGATGAGTACCTGGTGACTAAAGATTAAGTTTTTATAACTTAAGCTCGTGGAAAGTTATGTTGTGAGAAGACAATACTGATAAGATCTATGATGGTGTGTGCACTATGAGTGTGTGGTGGTTGTTTCAAGTTCACTACTAAATTTAGCCAATATTCATTAAGGATTTTTATCATAGTTATAATAGATAACATTGGTCCTGATGGTTGCGCCAAGGTCTAGTTGAAGAATCGGTCAGTTGAAGAGTCAATTTGGGAATAGCTTTATTGTTAGTTGAGTTCACATACCACAACAATTATCATTAGATTATTGAGATGACTCTATTTGGGGCATTGTATGAGAGGATATGTAGATACTTTTTATATGAACTTAGTAATAATATTTTGAAGGAATTGTTGAGAAAACTACCTTTTCTTACCCTCGCATTCTTTTGATCTTTCGAGGACAAACGATGGATAAATTTGTATCAAATGTAATGATCCATTTGATCATTTTATATATTACACTTTTGAATAATTTAAAAGGATATTTTAGACTGTTCATAACTAAAATTATAAAATTAATGGGATAGTTTAATAAATTATTTAATTGGTGGTTAAAGAAAGTAACTTTAAAATTAATAGTGGGTGACTTTTATCACTTTGTTTTTTTATATAATTAGTCAAATATATTAATTAAGGTATTAAACAATCTGTAGAGAAAAAGAAAAGGAGAGAAGCGGAGAACAACAAAAACCTTACATGAGGAGTGAGGAGGCGGCTGTGCCGTCAGGTAAGTCTTCAACTAGCCGCCTTGTTTTCTACACATATTGAATGTTGGATGGGGGCTTAATTATACCATTACATATACTACTTAGTGTCATGTTATGGCAAAATGAATAATCAGAAAATGAGAGTCTAAGGGGATAATTAATGATAACAAATCACTAGAAAATGATGGATTAGTATAAGTGTATTATCGTGTGCATACAAAGATACATTCCTTTCTGTAGTCAAAGCTAAAAAGGAATATTATGTATAGTACAAATATAATTTAATTCATGTATTAGTCATTATATTAATTAAATGAGGAAGAAGGGAATAAAGGGATATTGGCAAACTTTAGACGGTGAATGGTTGAACACACAAAAAATTGAGGTTCTGTTAATATTTTGGGTTAGAGAATATTGGGGAGACAAATTAGGATACGAACAAATAAAGTTGGAGAGGTTAGGTTGTTGTAACTATTAGAGAAGGTTATATATGTGTGTAATTGGATAGTGAGCATAAGGATGATATATGACGGTTTGTATATGATTTGTGTCCATAAAAGTTATTGCAAGCAGTAGGCTATGGAGTTTATTGATACTATTATTTAATTATCAGTTTGTATTAAAATTAATACTTATAATTAGATAGAAATTGAATTGAATGCATGGTATGCTACTAGTGCTTTCGTAACCTGTAATTTTAGATTCTTAATATTTTTCTTTAGTTATCATATTATAAACGATATTTTGATATATTGAAATAGATAATGAAATATTATGTATATTGAATTATTTAATTTCCATTAAAGTTATGTTAAATTAAAGGAATAAATATTTACCCTTAGGTTTGAACTTTAGTGAATTGATTATAGAATTAGACGAGTTTTGAGTTTAGAATAGACATAGAATAATATGAGTGTCTATAGACTCGTTAACTTACAAATTACGCATATGTGATAGATTGGAAAGGTTCAAAGGCATTGAGGAAGGAAAATCATTGAAGAAGTGGTCTATTTGAATTCGATTCTACGGTGGAGGTATGTTATGGTTTATGCTATTTGATAGTAAACTCTTAATAGTGATTGATATGCTGTGAATGATATTGTGAAGTTTTGTATGTACTTGATTGTGTGGTTGTGTGTCTTGGTTTTGTTTTATTTATTAGTCTTAAATCCTGAGACCGTGGAATTTATAATCTTGAACCCTCTCTATTAAAGTGATGCCTTTAATAAAGAAGGCTCAATGAAATATTTTTAACGATTGGAATAGTGGTGATATTAAATGATAAATTAATGATATTCTTGGATCGGAGTGTCACGTTCCGACACGGTATTTTTAGATCGCAGTGTCACGTTCCGACACGGTATTCTTGGATCGAAGTGTCACCTTCCGACACGTCATTCTTGGATCGGAGTTTCACATTCCGACACGGTAATATTAAAGGAAAAATATGTTGAATTAATGGAAGGTACTCAATCTCAAAGAACTCAACTCCCAAAATGGTTTGATTTGGAGGCATGAGTCCTCATGTGTAATGTTGTTGATACTTGTTCATGTTGTTTGTTGTTTATCACCTTTGAAGTGCTATAGTTGAGTTCATACTATTATTTATTGTATATTAGTTCCTATTTTGGATTGGCCGATGATACCTACTCAGTACATGTTGCCCCCGTACTCAGTCCTACTTGTGTTTTTCTTTTATGAAATGCAGCGACTATACCTATAACTTCATATTTTCCTCAGCTCTAGCCAGCCTCCCGCATATTAAGCTCCAGGACGAGCTATTCATTCAAGCTCGTGTTGGATTCTTTCGGTCATGACATGATGTCCTATACTTTCAGACACATACTATTTTATTCATTTATTTTGTTGTCTTTGATACTCTTAGACTTAGTAATTAAAGATTAGATTTCCTTGTTGTGATGACTTTCAGATTTTGGAGGATGATAGTTAATAAATTTTGGCGCTTCCGCAATATTTTGTTATTCACAGTTGAATTATTGGTACATGTTGAGATTTGAATTTCTTGGTTCGCCTACCTAGGTAGTTAGGTGTGCATGTCAATCACGACTTGTTTTGGGTCGGTACATCCATCTTTCAGGCTACCATGGATTCTTCTACATCTTTTTATCCATTTCTTCAGGCATAGAATTCTCGGTCTTAGTTTATGTTCAGTTTCGGGGTTACATCCCAAGTTTAACTATTCATAGTTTTAGTACGATGACTTTGAGTTTTTGGGGCAATTTCAGTATCACAATTGTTTTAATTATCTAATTTTAATTATGAGGATTCATTTCTCTAGTACTTAATGATTTTCTTTATTTTTATGCTAAGACTTGATTTTATTAATATAGTGTTGGTTGGTTCGGGTTAGTCTTTTATTCTCCAACAAAGTTGATTAATGTTGGTGTCACTCATGATTTTCTAAGTTGTGACAATATCATCCTCGTTAGGATGATATGATTTCATTTAAAAGTAATAAGAAATTAAATTTATATATACATCTAAAATTAAAACAACTAAATTTAATATTTTTGTACTAAAATTTAATTGAGGTTTTATCATACATGATACGAGGATAGTAAATTAATATGTCATGGTATGAAAACTAAGACATCTATTGAGAGAAATAATTTTTTATAGGACATAAAGTTATAGTTGGATGACTTAATAGGAAAAACAATTAAAAATAATTATAGTGAAATATTTTCCATAGTTGAATGACTATTAAGGAGATTATCTCAAACACACACAAAAACCATTCAAAAGGAAGCTTACATTGACTTGCCTTTAGCTCTACTAACCAAAAAAGTGTTCAAAGGAAAAAAATGTAAAAACACTACGCGCGTGTGTATATATATATATATATATAGCTAGTTCTTTTCACCTCACTTTGCCTTCTCCTCCTTTTGTGTTTATTCTATCAAAACAAGATACTTAATCTAGTTAAACGACTACAAAAAACGTTGAGGTTTACACTTATGCCTTGTTAATTTCATTGATCTATTTGTATGTGTGTATATACATATATCTTTTCTTATCAAATTATCTAGAATCTTTTTATTTGATAACTAATCCAATGAATCTTGAGAGATTCATGATTACAATAAATCGAATTTCGATTTTTTTATGGATCTAAGTTTTTCATATTTGTTTTACCTCTTTTTACATAACCATATATTTTTATTTTAAGAATGCAAGTTCTAGTAAAGGAGATTTTTTATCTTATGTTTGACCATTGAAAGAGAAATAAATATGGTTATAGGTGAAAATTAATTTAAATTGTAATAGATTTAGAGGTTGTGAGCGCCTTTAAAAATTTTCTTAAAAAGAGAGACTATAAAAATTTATTTTTTTCAAAATTTATAGTTTTTTCCCAAAGAAAGTTTGATTAAGGCTTTCTTTTTGTATAACACATCCAATTTACTTGGTAAATTATTTGAGATGCATGACCACAACGATAATTATTGTTGTTACTGATTGTATATATTGATAAAAACATCTTTTTCTTTGACTTTTTTGTGTGGGTATTCTAGCACTTTCATTATGTTCTTATGATATTACTTGACACATAAATATAATTTTCTAGAAGCTACAAGGTTTCATCCTTCTATAAAAACTGTTTCTATTACTTCACAAAATATTTCTATCTTACAAAAGATCTTTCTATGTTTTTTTCCCTACTAGAATATCAATAATCAGCACAAAGTTTGTGGGAACGAAGATGCAATGTTAACGAATGATTTAGAGGTAAGTTTTTGAATAATATCTCTACTTATACGGTGTTTAATTTTTCCTTATAAGCCATATGCAATATATTTTGATAGATGCATGAACAACGTTTTTATGATAATTGTGTTATAAAAGAAAATCAAATGTTCTTCTCTATACATAAAATATTTAATCATTTCATAACAACAACATATAAATACTTAGACAAATTTAAATAAGTTAAATATTTGAAGTTAGTTTTTGTTGATGATTGTAGTAATTGATTATGGTGGTAGTTGATGTTGGTAATGATTGTAAATGATAAACAATGATGATGATGATTGATAAAGATGGAGTATGGTGTTAGTAGTGAATGGTTTGAATAAATGAACTATAATATTTCTAGAAACCTTTAAACATACATGTTAACTATATGACATTCAGTTATCTAATCATTTATGCCTATCCAGACTCAATAAATGGTTGTATCATAACAAAATTTAGTTGATTATTAAGGTTCAAGCCTATAAACATAGAGATTTAATAGTTTATGTATGAAAGATTAAAATATAAATCTTTATTAATGCGAACATATGAGACATAAATACAAATACTTACTAGTAGATATCACCCATACACATATTTTTCTATATTGTGCAATATCATCAGTTAAATATGCCTTATCTAAAAAAATGAGAAGTCCTCATAGAAAACCTTCTTTCTTGAACTATTTAATACCTCTGTTTTTCATCGTCTCAACCTATGACATGACCAAACTATCTCAAATAATTATTTCATATTTTAACATTTTTTAAAGTATGCATACATGTTTTTAGATAGGCAGGATTATGATAATAATAATAACTAGATAGAATCATTTAACAAATCACTGCAACGAATAACATAGTAGTTTTCCAGTCTGAAATATTTATCACTTGCACAAGTCAAATGGATTTAAATTTTTCATGATTTTCCTTTTTAATCTAGTCATTTCATTTCATTTTTTCAATTTAAGTATGTAATTTCCTATAAATCTAAGTCAAAATAGATGAGATCGACCCTCTTAGATTTGACCAAACTACATGAGAAATAATTGTTACAATGTGAGGATTCATTTAATATGCAATAGAGTTTGTAGTGAAATTTAACAATTTCATTAAACACAGAAACTTTAAAAATTAATTTGACCTAAAAATATTTAACTTTTTCGGATAGATCAAAATTGAACTTAGGATGATTTTTTGTCACAACTTCAATGATTTTAGTAAAGCTTAAGATATGCAAGACCACAACCATCATTGATCTTGTTACATAATGTATACTATTGAAGAATACACTTTTTCTTAAGTTATTTATTTTTTAGTATTGTATCACTTCGATTTAGTTCTTAAAATATTATATGAAATATAGTAAGTGAGTAGTTCACATTTTTTGTAAACCATCTTCATCACTTCATACAAGTTTTTAATTTACAATAGTTTTAATTGTATTTTTCATATTTGCAACTTGGATAAGGATAAAAAGTACAAAGTTGGAGATATAGATGCAACATTGATGGACGTTTTCATATCTTTACTTGAACCTCAACAATCAAAAGTTGATGTTGTTGAGGTAAGCTTTAGAAATCCAATTACAACGTATTAGTTTTCGTCCTTTTGAGATATGCACAAAAATATTTTGACGGGGTCTACACTAGATAAGATATCACTTGTCCTTAGGGTTCTGGGTAGATTATGAATCGCAGTCAAAGCAGGAGACCAGCTACATGTTCCTATAGGATAAAACTATTTATCTTGTATTTAGTAATCTTAAGATTTGCATGACCACGACCATTATGTATCTTCTTACAAAGTGCATACGATTGATGAAAATTCATCATTTTATTTTATATATTGAGTATTCTATCTATTAGATTATGTTCTTAATATGTTACTTGATACATCCACGTAAATAAGTATCAAGCAAGCAATTTTTATCTCTTTTAGAAATCCTTCCACTATTTCACACAATTTTTTGTTTTACTAAATATTAACTATTTTTTCATATTGTCTTTTAGAATATGGATATGCAACGTAAAGCATGTCATGATAAGGATTCAATATTAATGGAAGTTCCAATTATCACACATGATGAATCAAAAGTCGATGTTCTAGAGATAACCCTTTTAAAAAGCTGTCTAATTTTTATGGATTCTTGAATAACTTTTAATGTTGATTGTATGATGAAATAAAGAACAATATTCTTCTCTATATCTAAAACACGACTTGTATCACAACAATATTATTTAAATATGTCATATATCTAACAATACGTTAAATATATACTTTTTCCGTTTCAATTTATATGATGTATTTTAATTAGACATAAATATGGAAAGGCTTTGATATATATGTTCCAAACTAAACCTTAAAAATATGAAGTTTTAAACAGAAGAGTACCTTTATGAATATTTTGCCGAATAAGGAAACCAACATGGTAATAGGTAAATAGTCTAATTAAAAATTTCCAAAATAAGTACATATGTTATCTTTTTAAAATGATAAAAGAAAATATGTATATAAAATATAACACATGGAGTATATGATTGACAATATTTCAAATAATAATTTTAAAGGTTATTTAATAAGTCTAAATTATATTCTCTTTTTGTGCCTTTTCTTAGTTAAGTTCTACATTCATGTAACAATAATAGGTTTTTCAAGATAATTTAAATTCATATGATATTATTTACTTTGGTGAGAATATTGTCGACTAACTACCTCACAATCACCAAAAATTAATTGAGAAGAAAAAATAATACAAGGATTTAACAAGCATTTGCTAAGCCTAATCCTATCAGAAGAAAGCAAAGAGGTTTTCCACTATGAAAGAAAAGAAGAAGTGTTTTCCTTGCATTCTTCTCAACCCTTTAGGACTATATTTTGTTGTGTACCATGCTTTATAATTTCCAACTGTATCTCTATATATAAATTCTAGTTCTCCCGATCCTATAAAGAAAAGGTTCTCCAAATTCTAGAAGGACAATATATTTCTTTTTCAAATCTATTTGTACGAAAAGTCTTCTAAACCAAAAGGGATTATGCGTATCCTAAAATATGTCAACAAAAAATTCAACACACAATGAATAATTATTATAAAATTTATGTCTACAATGCATGAAGATTTTAATTTTGAGAATGAATTTTTATTCAAGTGTTAAAAATATATAAATATTTCAAATTCAAACCATACATGACTTAGAAATTACTATAGTATGACCTCGGTACACAACCTGTGTGGCTATGAAGGAAATAAAACATCTACCCTTAATTATAATTACCACGTATGAAAGTCTTTTGAATCCATTATAGACATACAATAAATATTAGATTCATTAACAACCATGTTAGGTGAAATGATACTACTACATCAAGTTCAAACTTTATCTCTACATGAAATTTGAATTTTTATATTTTATTTTTGGCTCATAAATATAAAACTACAGTATGTTATGAAAACTATAAAAAGTAACCAAATTCTTTATTTTTACAATCATAGCAAATAAGAAAAAGTTCATGACAAAAAAAAAATACACTATACAAAAGTTATTTTAAAAATACAATATTTATTGATCAAACTTTCATTTTATTCAATGAAAAGGTAACATTAATAATGAATTGTAGTAAACTTTAATTTTTTTCAAGTACTCTTTAATAAATTTACCATGGTCAATATAATTAGTAATTATATCATCATGATCACGTTTGTAAATATTTCACCAGTTCTTTCATATTCTCGCAAATAATTATATGGTTATATAATTCCTTTTGATATATAAAATATAACTTTTTGAGTCAATTTTTTTATTTGAAAAATCTTAAATCATGATACTAAATTCTCAAAGCAAGTTTTTTTTTTTGGAGAATTTGAGATTTCATCTCATAATTTAAATCACGAGATGAAATCACTTATACAAATGCTTATTTTCATTTAATAATTAAAAATTACAAGACCAAATTGCATGCCTAAACGCCTAAAAACTAAACATGGTAAATTTGATGAAAATTGAACAAACATTGAATTGACATAAAGCACTCAACTTACTATTATTACTCTCGTCAATCTACGTTATAGATAAATATATTAAAATATAAATTAGTTTGTGTAACCATTTAAACAATAATATCTTTCAAGAATAGAAAGTAAATTTTTTTAATTATGTGAAGATGCTAGAAAAGTTATTATGAAGTTTAAGTTTCTCAAGAAAATTATTTCCCTTGTTATTGAAATCATAAGACTTATGGAAAAACCTCTGTTTCTTTATCTTTGATATTCTACAACTTCAATTAATGTCATATTATCTGCTAGAAAATGGATAAGCACCATAAAGTTGATCGTAGAAATGCAATAATGGCTATCCCCATAACTTCTATTGCACCACAAGGTCGTATCTCATTGGTAAGCTTTGAAAATTTATCTCTATTGTTTAACATACTTATTATAAGGTGTTTACATTTTTTCTGTTAAGACATGTACACAAATTTTTTGATCTACTTGGTAATAACTCTTTTATTCCATATTTTCTTCTAGAAAATGGATAAGCATCACAAAATTGATCGTACAGACACATTGTAAGGGGTGTGTATGTGTGTGTGTGTGTGTCCGTGTGTGTGCGTGTGCGTGTGCGTGTACATGTGCGTGTGCGTGTGCGTGTGCGTGTGTGTGCGCGTGTGTGTGTGTGTGCGTGTGCGTGTGCGTGTGCGTGTGCGTGTGTGTGTGTGTGTGTCTATGTCTGTGTCTGTGTGTCTGTGTGTGTGTGTCTGTGTGTGTGTCTGTGTGTGTGTGTGTGTGTCTATTTGTGTGTGTGCGTGCGTGTGTGTGCGTGTGTGTGTGTGTGTGTGTGTGTGTGTGTGATAGAAGTGGAAGAAACACACTTTATAGTATTGTGTTGATCTTCTATAATATATGATATTGATGCTCCAATACATTGTGTACCACTTGATGACAAAATGATGAAACTCCCCACTTTGTCTAGATAATTACCTTTTCAGAATTGATATTGGGTAAATTCAATTTCATAAGTATTTTTTTGGTTGCAGAATGAGATTGTACAAAAAAGTATGAACTACATGCATACGCATACATTTGAACAAAGATGACAAAATTGGATCATCAATAATATTTCTCGTCCAGGTGGCTTAATAATAGATTATGTAAGTTTTCTTTTGATTAATCTGCATGTTTCCCTACCAACAAAACTGATTATGTATATTTTGATGAGTTTGCAAAAAAAATTAAATAATTATTGATAAACAAGTCTACCTTCATTTGGAGACGAACACAATGTTTTGATCTTTGATAGAAGTGTATAAATTTGTTGTCTATGGGGATGTTCCTGAAATAACAAAGAAATCAGGAGAAAATGAAGAAACATCTCAGGTTAGCTCAAAAACAATATATTAGAACACATAGCACAGACTCTACTCACCCAATATTGGACTAGTCTACGGGCTGGTGAGACTATTCTATTACAGATTGATAGACATTGACTCTTTTATACGTTATCATCAATGATTCAATTTGCAGGTGAAACTGTAACGACCTGTTTAGTCGTTTTGAGCAGCAGATTTTATTTCTGGAAAAACTAGCTGGGACGATGGAACCCACGACGGACCGTCATGGGCACAACGGACCGTCGAGGTGTGTCGTTCCAAAATACTTAGAATTCTGAAAATTGGGTACTGAAATCGACTATCTGAACTTCGTGACGAAAGTGTATGAGGAACCGTCACAGGGTCTTAAATAAAAAGTGAGTCTCTGAACTCTGTGATGGAGCAGCAGGATGGTCCATCGCAGGCACAACGGCCCGTCACAGGCACGACGGCCCGTCACAGGCTGCGTAATCCCAGGCGAGGTCGGATTTCTTTAAATGTTTTAAGGGATGTTTTGGACTATTCCTGCTATAATTAAAAATTTAGTGGGTTAATGTTAATAATTTAACTACTTGAGGGTTAAAAGAGATAACCTTGAATTAATTAAATGGGTTAATTCACCATCTTTTATACTTAATTATATGCTAATTAGGGTAAAAGAAAGAGGGTTTGAATAAGAAAAAGAAAAGAACAGAAAGAGAGAGAAAGAGGGGATCGAAAGAGAAAGAGGAGAAACGGGAAGAAGAACAAAACTTTTGGAAAATTGCTTGCTTGACAAAAATTCTTCAGTGGAGTTAGGTTATGGATTTTATACTATTCGTAGTTAACTCTTAATAGCAAATGATATGTGTTGGGTTGTATTGTAAAGTCATCTATATGCTAAATTGTATGCTTGCATGAATGTGATTATATAATTGTGATGAAATAAGCATGATGAAACTATTGAATCCCAAATCTTGAAAAACCCTTGTTAATAATGATGTCGTGGTAAAAAAGAAGGCTTGATGAATTAATAGAATTAGGGGATCGGGTGTCACGATCCGACACGTAGAATTAGGGGATCGGGTATCACGAACCGACACGTAGAATTAGGGGATCGGGTGTCACGAACCGACAAGTAGAATTAGGGGATCGGGTGTCACGAACCGACACGTAGAATTAGGGGATCGGGTGTCACGAACCGACACGTAGAATTAGGGGATCGGGTTTCACGAACCGACACGTAGAATTAGGGGATCGAGTGTCACGAACCGACACATAGAATTAGGGGATCGGGTGTCACGAACCGACACGTAGAACTAGGGGATAGGAGTGTCACGTACCGACATAAGAATAAAGGTGATGAATCTCGAAAGATGTTAATATGCTCAATCTAATGAACCTAATTCCCAAATGAGTATGGTATTGAGGCTTGAGTCCTCATGTGTGAACTTGGCGGTACTTATTAACGATCATAATACTTGTTGTTGCTACATGTTGAGTAATGTAGTTTATTTTATATTATTACTTGATATATATTATTTTATATTTTGAGTTGGCCGATGATATCTACTCAGTACCCGTGTTTTGTACTGACCCCTACTTGTATGTTTCTTTCCTTGTTATTTGTGGAGTGCAGCAAACGTGCCGTCGTCTTCAACTCAACCGCAACTCTAGCCAGTCTTCATTACACCGAATTTCAGGGTGAGCTAATGCTTCTAGCTTGGACTGGATCGTCCTCTTCATGTCTTGATGCCTTGAAGTTCCGGCATGGACTAGCTTTTTATGTATTTTAGCTTCTTAGATACTCTTAGATTAGTAATTTGAGGATAGATGTTCTTGTGATGATGACTTCCAGATTTTGGGGATAATAATAAATGTTTGAGTTTTAGAAGTTATTTGATTTATTTTGTTAA